GTATCCAGAGACGCAGCGACGTTATTATCAGGAAGAAAAACCCGAGAACCAGAACGAGAACCACAAACATGAGCGGAGAATAAATATATACGCCACAATCACCGAGCCGATCGCGAGGAATACACCAGGACCGGACCAGGACCAAACCAGGACTAGACCGAGACTAGACCGAGACTAGACCGAGACTAAACAAGGACTAGACCGGGACTAGACCGGGACCAGACCGGGACTAGACCGTGATTAGACCAGGACTAGACCGGGACTAGACCGTGATTAGACCAGGACCAGACCGGTATTAGACCAGGACTAGACCGGGACTGATCCAGTGTCATTAGCGGAGTAGAAATATATATACGCCCCAGTCGTCGACCCGATCTCCTCCGCTTTGATGTTTTATGTCATAAAAACACTCTCTCAGTCTGGTCTGATATTGTTTCGGGAAAGGAGCGGGACCGGGCTCTTGTTTCCAGGGCAACGGACGCGCGTCAAGTATTTTTGTCCCGTTCGTCCACGGCGTCAAAGATGCGCGTCGGGGGCGTCTAAACTCAAATGCAAAGGCGCTCAAATAGAGGCGTCAAGGCGTTTTTTGACGCTTTGGTGTGAACGGCCCTTAAGACAGTAAAAAAAATCAAAATAAAAAAGCATGCTCCCCGAGGTCAAACGCGCCCCCCTTGACGGAGCCTCGCGCCCCCCCAGGGGCAGTGAGAAGCACTGCCGTATACACACGCTAACCTCCCCGTATACACACGCTAACCTCCCCGTATACACACGCTAACCTCCCCGTATACACACGCTAACCTCCCCGTATACACAGCCTGACCTCCCGTATACACAGCCTGACCTCCCCGCGTACGCACGCCGCACCTCCGCTCGCCAATGCAACACCAAGCCGCTCCTGCACATGAATTTCCCAATTCATATACGAGAATAGCTCAGCACCACTAGTAAGCAGTAATACGGAGCGCACCGACAGGAAAACACATACAGAATATCCCTTCAACAACAGCACAACAAACAAACAATAAATTTGCCATTTACAACTATGCCAACCAACGGACAACTAGCGTGCACCCCAAAAACAAAAATGCCATCAAAATATTAAATACGGTGCCTTTAATAGTTAAGCAATAATTAGTTATCCTACCTAGATCAGAAGGGACAGAAACAAAGGCGATTAGATGTAACCCGTATCGAATACACTTTTAGTTTAGCAGACTTTTATTTTGGCGACTTTATTTTTTGTGCTTTATTTGCTCATAATTTATCTTTGCCTTTCATTTTACTTTGAATACAGTTATAATTATCAACATTTTTGACTACTGGTTGTCATTCCTACCCTGTGCTCCTTTAATCACTGCTCTTCTTGTCCTATTTAACATCCTGTCGCCGAGCCTCAAAATTTAACGTTACATAAAGCATAGCCAAAACTTCTCTTCAAAATAGTTTTTTAACATGCCATATTCTTAGATCCTTTAATATTTTAGCGACATTAGATGAGTTTAGATGGTCACAGGTTCTCAGTTATTTCTAGTATTGGGAGGGTTACTCTTAAAATGTATGTAATTATGTTTTCCCCTACAGATTACAGATTACATGCCTCAAAATGTAGTTTGTAACGCAATACAGTACATTAAATTACTTTAAAGTGAGTAACGTAATCTGAATACTTTGAATTACTTGATACTGTCATGCTTTTTAAACTACAGAGCTAAATATGTACCAACTTTGCCAAGAAGCTTTTTTTTTTTTTTTAACAAGACACAACAGGAACAAGGTTTACTTTCAACTAAGAACATGAGAATGTAGAGTAAGAGCTTCAGTAGAAGGCAATATTAAGTATTCAAAAGAAGTCAGAGAGCCACATAAACAGCTACAGAAATGAATAAAGAGTGTTACTGCACAGTAGACTGCTCTATTATATATAAAATACTATGTTTTTAAAAACTCTGGCAGAAGTTTGAGTTGTTTTGGGAAAGGCTCCAGTCGTCACACATGCTCAGTGTGGCACCACAGGGTCCGCATGACCCGCATGACCTACTATCACAATATCTCCTTGAGTTTGGTTTCTCATAACCCGGATATTGGTTTATCCAGGATACTGAAACCAGGATACTGTGTTTACATACACAGACAAAACCAGGATATGGAAAAACACAATCATAATCAGGGTACTCGGGCACATCTAAACACATACTTTTATTTACAGATAGAATCAAACTAACGTTTGTGTTGATATGAGATGGATGGGTGATATGAGTTGCTGCTGCGGTGGCGAGGCCCTGCCCTAAAGCTGAGGTGAGAGAGACATGCAGTCTGCAGCCATCAGTGAAAATAAACAAAAGATGAACAAACAAAACCATTTCCAGAACGAGGCCCTAAGTCTAGGGCAGAAGATGAGGCATTAATTATTGACCAGTCTTAATTGTACCGGTCATTTCCAAAATACTTGAGAAGTTAGTGGCTCAACAATTGATGACATAGTTGGATTAAAATAATTGACTTAACCCTGAACAATTTGGATTTTGACCAAATCATTCTACTGAGATGGCTGTATGCCACTTATTGAAAAATGGTTTGGATCAAGGCAAATGTGCTGGAGCAGTATTTTTACATTTTAAAACTTTAGATACTGTAAGCCACATAGTTCTGTTGAGGAAAGTACAACAACTCAAATTTTCTAAACAAGTGAATTGTGTAAAATCAGGAATCCAAAAATGTAATTTGGGTGTACCACAAGGGTCCATTTTAGGACCGCAGGCAGAGCCCAGCTACCAAATGTATGCACAATAATTTCTGTCTCAGCAGACAGGCCGAAACAAGCTTCAGAGTTATGAAACAGTTAGTCAACATATTGAAATGTACTAAAATTATCTCATGTGTTTCTCTCTGGAGAAAACAACAAAAAATCAACTTAAAAGTCATTATTGCTCAGCATGAAATAGAAGAGGTGAATGAACTCAAGTATCTGGGGGATATTTTAGACTCTAAACCAGGGCTGTCCAAACTTTTTTCATCAATGGCCCCGAACACAGACAAAGCAGAGGGCTGATCGAGGGCTGGAGACTGGTGCTCAGTACAGTGAATAACTGAAATATGTGCATGTTTAACAAGTTAGAATGAGACATCAGTCTTTATTCATGTGAAGATCCTTAAAATCACGTACTAAATATTAAATATCAGCTTTATCAAGATAGATTTTCAAAAAACTTCCAGTAAAAAGTAATTTTTTGAATTGATGCAAGATCATTTGTAGCCTGATTCATCAGCTGGTTTCACTTCATAGAAACCGTTTGACCTCACAGTGTTAGAATTCGTTTGCTTGACGGTAGGCTGGTACTTTTGTTTATTTTAACCAACTGCTGCTATTTGGTCGTGATGTATGTCATGTGCCACTGGTATAATAAGCTTTAAAAATCTGTCCTCAAACCTTTTGAGTCATTGCATAAACATTTAAAGTGTTTGATCAAAAACAATGAAGTGGCATCACTGTAATAACATTCAAAAATATAACATGGTGACTTTTGATCATTTTATAAATGTCTGCTTTGTGAAAGACAGTTTTAAGTGTCTTAATGGTGTTGCTCCAGGTGTAATGTGAATTGATTCATATAATAACGAAGGCCCCAGGTCCAGAGCTGGAATAAGTAGAACCTGCAGAGTGAAAAGGTGCTGAAGACTCTGGGTCAGTCATGTTCTCTGTCAAAGTTTTACACTTGTGGAACTCTTTGCCACTGGAGCTGAAGTCCCACTCAGACTTTTCTCCACAAAACTCAAGAACTGGCTCAAAGAAAATCAACAGTGTGACACTGATCTGCTCTGGGATATAGAGTGAACAGATATGGCCAATTCTTTTATTATGTGTTTTTATCAATGTCTTTTACTCTTTACCTTTTAAAAGCCAAACCAGGGACGGGGGCTACAAATCAGCCTGTAGTAGAAGCCTTATGTATATGGTCCCTGTCAAATAAACCAATTAATAAATAAAATACAAAACAAATCAGGCGCTGAGGTCACTCCTAGAGTTAGCAACACGTTTGACTGACAGCGCCCGTCGCCTTCCAAATGGCTTTTTGGTTGCTATGATATTCAAAATCAGAAATATGTAACTCGTTTCAAAATTCAGCCCTATAACTGCCAGCCTCAATGAGCTTCATTTGTCTGAATGTTATAGGTGACTGAGTCACACTCAGTCCACTTCTATATGCAGTGTATGATTGTCTCACTTCTATTATTTGGAGCATTTTTAGCTGGTCAGGGAGACTGGTCATGAATGTACGTCCTTATCAGCAGTCACTGTCAATCAATCAATCAAACTTTATTTCTACAGCACCTTCCAATGACCAAAGCTGACCAAAGAGCTGTACAACATTAAAACAGGATCAAAACAAAACAAAACAATAAACATCATACAAACAGATCAACAAAGCACATTACACCATTAAAATAAAGGAAGTGTCACAGGGCCACTAATTGTTCAAAGTCATTCTAAATAAGTCAGTTTTAAGTTTGGGTTTGAACAGAGGCAGGTCAGGGATGGACTGTAACTCAATGGACAAAGAATTTTGGACTGACCACTGCAAAAGAACGATCAGCCCACTGTTTGCACCGGGACCGGGGGAACCTCCAGCAGGTGTGGCCCAGCAGATCGTCAAAATCTCACACAAGTAGGAAGGTGCAAGACCACTGACTGCATTAAAAACAAACATCAAAATTTTAAAATAAATTCTGAACTGGACAGGGAGCCAGTGCAAGGAGTACAGGACACTGTCGTGTTTAGTCAGGTGATTAGATAGTTGTAATATCTTGTACATGTCCAGAACACATATCTATGAGTCAGCAACATTATCACATGACATCTGAGTCCTTGTGCCAAAGTGTCCATGTTCACTTCCTGCTCATCAAACTGTCCTCTCTTCTGTGTGTGTGAGTGTGTGTGAGTGTGTGTGCGTGCGTGCGTGGGTGTGTGTGTGAGTGTGTGTAAGTGTGTGTATAAAAGAGCAGAGTGATGCTGTTGCTCATCAGTGTCTGAACTTCTGCCACGATGTTGTGCTTCATGAGCGTCCTCTGTGAGTATAACACCTCCACACCTCTGTGTGTTTAGACTCTACAGCTACAGTAACACACACATGTGCTGAACTGTTTCAGGGCTGGCTGCCACATGCCTGGACACAGCAACAGCGTCCTACGCTTTGTCCACCACCAAAGTGACCACGTGTGACACTCTGGGCTATGTGCATCGCCTCAGCTGTGGTGAGTCTGTCTCAGTACAGTACAAAGTACTGTGTACACTGTGAGTGTGGGACTGGAGTTAGATTACTACATAAAGTACTACTGTGACCTGCCTGTGAAGTATAGTTGAATACTTACAGTTGAATATGTTGTTGACACAGAGCGTGGAGTGATTGCTGTACAGGCTGCACTGTACGGACGCCTGGACAGAGAGACCTGCAGTGAGGGATGGACCAATAACCTGAAAGACATCACCTGCTCCCAAAGCGGCACCAAAGCAGTCCTTCAGAACAGGTTCATCTCGCCTCATGTTTGTGAGACCTGGGTTCATGGCAAAGCTCCACATTCTTATCATTGTTATCCACAGATGTGATGGGAAGACGACCTGTGAGGTAATCACAAATGCTTTCCGCTTCTCTGACCCGTGCTATGGCACCTACAAATATCTGGAGAGCACCTACGCCTGTGTGCTGGAGGTCAGCAGCAGTGTGGTGTGTGAGCACTACAACACCAGACTTCAATGTGGTACAGTAGAACTATGCAGTCCAGTAGAACTAGAACATTGGAATGCTCTACAGCAGGGGTGCTCACACTTTTTCAGCATGTGAGCTACTTACAAAATGACCAAGTCATAAAGATCTACCTAATACAAAGCCAAGCAAACTGCACTGAAACACTCTGTGCCCCTTTTTTGGACCCTCCCCCACAGTTTGAGAACCTCTTCTTTAAGAGAACTTCCTCTGGCACTTTACACAAAACTGTGAAAAAAGTGAAGGAAGATTTTTAAACCTGTTTTTTAAAGTTCCAAACTGGAGTTTCATTCTTTTCTGGTTTTGCAGTGATATTTACCAGCCTCTGCACATTTACCAAACCAAACGCACATTGTGACAAACACAGATGCATTTGTGCACTTTTGTTAGACAAACTTCAGCCAAATGTGGCAGTAGGTCTGTTCTGTAGATCCGCTCTATGCTGTAGACCTGCTTTGTGCCAACACTGGAACACAAATTTAGACTGGTTTTTGCTTCACGTTTGGTCTTGCTCTTCTAATCAGCCGCACTGTGGGAGGGGCTTGTGTTCGCTGTACGCAGGAAGGAGCGAGAGCGTGAAAAGGCGAGGGGCGGCGTGCTGACGTGAGGCAGATGGACAGGTAGGATGTTTAGGAAGTTGAACCTGCCCTGTGATGCACACTGGTACACGAGGGCACACGCTGTCGCAGACGAGCCGTGCATAGGGAGCGTGTGTGTTTGTGATGTGCCGTAGAGTCTCCGCGGGTTTCAAATGAGCGCACAGGCTGCACTGAGACGCCCCACACGCTCCTGCACCCGCTACAAGTTTATTACCAACAGCAGCGGCCGTAATGAAATATGATCACACTTGTTGAGTGTCAGACCTCGAGTGAGAGACAAGACTGAGTCCAAACGCAAGTCCAAGACGAGACACGGCGATCTACCCACACGACCTTGGAGATCGACTGGTAGATCGCGATCGACGTATTGAGCACCCCTGCTCTACAGTGTTTAACATGTGTGTGGTTTATTGAACATACTTACAGTTGTGATGTAGTAGTGATGCTCTTTCCTCTCACAGGGCAGGGTCAGGTGATCCATGTGCTTTCGGCGTACTACGGTCGCACTGACCACTCCACCTGCTCTGAAGGACGTCCTCAGTCTCAGCTCCAAAATATCCAGTGCAAACTCTCCGTCATCAGCAACGTGGCTCAAATGTAAAAAAAGTCTTTATGATAAGTTTTCTATCTGAAGTTAAAGAGGCACAATGTGAAGTTAAACAGACACAGACTTTCAGAGGGAGGTGCTGCCTTCTGTTTGTAGTTATTGTAAAGTGAAGTATAGTAAAGTTATTGTTTCGCCAGGAATGTTCCACAGTATGGTATTAAAACTTATATATCGATCTGGTGACACCACGTCACCATACCAAGTAACAGGTCAGCTCTGTGGAGAGGCACACCTCACAGTCAGAATGCAGGTTTTTCAATGTTTAATGCCATACTGTGGAACATTAGTCCCACTGGTGAATGGTCACATTTTTGTACAGCACAAAGTGCTTTACATCAGTGAACCACTCACCCTTTCACACACACTCATACACCAGTGTACTGAGACATTAGGGGCAAGGTGGGTTAAGTGTCTTGCCCAAGGACACAACAACAGCTGTGGGAGCTGGAATCACACTGACAACCTGTGTGTCAGTGGATCTGACCACTCAATCAGTAATGTTTGTCAAGAGCAAGATTCAAACCACCAACTTTCAAATCTACCTCCTTACCTTGATTCTCCAGGTGCAATGACAAATCCAGCTGTTCGGTCGGAGCCAGTAACTCTGTGTTTGGAGACCCCTGTGTGGGGACCTACAAGTACCTGGATGTCAAGTACATCTGCCAGAGTGAGTGTTTGAGTCTAATGCACCGACAGAACAACCATTTAGTTTATAATATTATTTGGTTCTGTAAAGCACTCACCTGGTTTAGTCCTGGGTTAGTCTTGAATTATTTCTGCTTTGGTCACTGATTAAAGTCCTTGCCTGGACCTGGCTTGGACCTGGTTTAATCTTGGTCTTAAAACTATAAGTTGACATTTTCCAACATTAGTGGAACGTCTTAATTTGGCTGTGGTTTAGTCCCTGGTTCAGTCCTGGTTTAGTCCTGGTTTGGGTCTGCTTTTGTTCCTAGTTCAGTCCTGGTTTATGATCTATTTAGTTCTGGTTTGGTCGCTAGTTCAGTCCCTGATTTTTGTTTTGTGGGGTAACACAAATGCTTTGCGCTTCTCTGATCTCATCCCACTGTTTCCAGGTCCTCAGCCGGCAGTCAGTGTGGTGTGTGAGCACTCCACCGCCCACCTCCGCTGTGGTACAGTACA